GTTTGTTCCCCCGTTGCCTCCTCCTGACGACCGTCCGGCGGTCTGGTCTTCTCCTCCTCCCTCTGTCCGTCGCGACCTGATCACTCGTTGTGCTCCGCGTGCTCGTCACTCGTCCCCTGTTATTGACCTCCACACTGCCCTCCTTTGTTCGTCTCGTCGTCGTTCTCCTTCTCCTGTGTCCGTTCTCCCGTCTCCTCCTCCGTCCTCCCTACCAGCCCTCCCCACTCCTATCTCTGACTACTACCGCGTTGTTCGTCCTGTTGCCGCACATGTCCTTGCCACTCTTGTCACCGACTCTCGTTTCCCTCCGTCGTCCGCCTCGGCCCTTACTGCCGCTGTCGCTGAGTTTGCTGCCGCCAGCCGCCTTGACTACGCCACCCGTGTGGTGCCAGCTCCTCCCTACCGTCCTCTGTCTGTCGGGGGTGGGTTTGCCCTTGGCTGTGACGTCCTAGAGGACAGAGAGTCTGAGCTGGAGTACTGGGCAGCCGCTTCTCCCTCTGTGTGTGCCATGCTGCTCTCCCCTGAGGGAGACCCCGACGCCCTTGACATACCGACTCCTCGCACTTACCGCGAGGCAGTGTCAGGGGCGTGGGCCTCTCAGTGGAAAGCGGCTATGGACTCAGAGTTGGCGTCTTGGAGATCCACAGGCACCTACGTCGACGCAGTTCCCCCTCTCAGGGCGAACGTAGTCGATGGCATGTGGCTCTTCAAGGTGAAGCGGCCGCCTGGAGCACCGCCGGTGTTCAAGGCGCGCTACGTGGCTAGGGGCTTCAGTCAGCGCGAGGGAGTTGACTTCTTCCAGACCTTCGCCCCGACCCCGAAGATGACTACTCTTCGGGTGTTACTCCACATAGCAGCGCAGCGAGACTACGAGCTGCACTCCCTTGACTTCTCCACTGCGTTCCTCCAGGGCCGACTGCACGAGGAGATCTGGCTTCACTGACACCTTCCCACCTGGGACCCAGTGGAGCCTGAGGCGACCAGTCTACGGTCTCCGCCAGTCGCCCCGTGAGTGGCACGACACTCTTCGCTCCACGCTTCGTGACCTTGGGTTCAGCCCGTCCTCCGCCGACCCGTCGCTGTTTGTTCGAGCGGGTGCCACTACTTTCTTTATCCTTGTCTACGTCGACGACTTGGTCTTCGCTACAGCAGACAGGGCAGCCCTGGCTCAGGTGAAGTCCGAACTGCAGAAGAGACACAAGTGCACTGACCTGGGTGAGCTGCAGCGCTACCTTGGCCTGCAGATCACCCGGGACAGAGCCGCTCGCACCATCACACTGACGCAGTCACACATGGTGCAGCAGGTCCTTCGGCGGTTCGACTTCCAGTTCTCCACCACACAGCCCACTCCTCTTGTTGTTGACCACAGACTCACGGGCCCCTTTCCTGACGAGCCCTTTGAGTCCAGTGGACCCTACGCAGAGCTGGTGGGCTGCCTCATGTACTTGATGACTTGTACTCGACCGGACCTCGCCTTTCCCCTCACCATCCTTTCTCGCTTTGTTGCGACTAGGAGACACCGTCCTGTCCACTGGACAGCTGCTGTGAGGGTGGCGAAGTACCTGGCGACTACATCAGGCATGGGGCTTGTGCTTGGAGGGACTCAGCCAGTGGCGTTGACTGGTCACTGTGACTCTTCCTACGCTGACGACGTGGAGACTCAGCGCTCGACTCAGGGTTACTGCTTCAGTCTGGGAGTTGGTGCTGTGTCGTGGAGGTCTACACGGTCGTCGTCTGTGGCTACTTCCAGTGCAGAGGCACAGATCTACGCTGGCGCCATGGCGGCACAGGAGCTTCGCTGGTTGACCTTCTTGCTCGCCGACCTTGGTGAGCGGCCTCGCTCTGCACCGACCTTGTACGCTGACAACAAGGCCATGATCCTCCTGTGTCGAGAGCCTCGACTGGAGACCAGAGTGAAGCATATTGACGTGAGGTACTTCCTCCTGCGAGAGCTGCAGCGACGCGATCAGGCACGCCTGGACTTTGTGGCCTCAGAGGCCAACACTGCAGACGTCTTCACCAAGGCTCTGGCGCCTGGTGACCACCACAGGTTCTGTGTGCAGTTGGGGCTTGTTGAGGTAGGCCCTCGGTTGTTGTAGTACTGTTGCTTGCTCTGCTTGTTGTGCTTTGTATTTATATCCTAGTGAACTCTTGAACTGGCCTTGTGGCCGCTTGCTTGCGCTCGGAATTTGTGTGGTGTCCTTGAGATCCACCCTGAGCTTGCCTTGTTTCTTGCTTTGACTGGTCTTGTGACCGTTTGTTCACCTTGCTTGCTTTGATGCCCCTCACTTAGCCTATGGGGGTGTGTCAAATGTTGTTATAGTCTCTTAGGCTACAGTGAGTAGCACTCTAAGGGGTACAACTCTATTTGTATGTCTTGTTTCTCTAGGTTCACATCATTCCGTTGCTAACCACTCTTGAGAGATTCTAACATAGCTCACCTACTGTTCAACTGGCGAAATGACAGCTGACATTCTGATGAAAATTTTGCCACGTCAGAAGTTCCAGAATTGCGCAGACCTGTGCGTAGACGTCAAGCAAAGCCACGTTGTGGACCTCCACGAATGAAGGGGAGTGTTGGAGTAAGCATGGAATTACTTTAGCATTAACGAAGGTGCAACAATATTGTACCAGCCACTACCAAAGCAACAACAGCAGCACTATTGCGTCAGCCCAAAAAGGGCACGCAGGTCAACAGTCGCAAAGTCAACTGTTGCGACTGTTGACCAACCTGGACCGAACGGTTTCATGTTTTACATTGTTATAGTACGGGAATGTACCCCTTAGAATACATGGCTAGCCAGATCTATTTATTGTGTAATGTTTTCCTTTTCAGTCAATCTTGTCATCTACATTCACTATGCACAAGGTTTCTACTAGAACAAATACTTCCACTTCACTTCCCTAAGCAGCTTATCCTATTCAAGGATTCTTATCCTAACATGGGGGAATACGGTATGGTACAACCAACCCACGACGTTGAACGTAGAATCTTTTTTTGGTGAGTCTGATTTTCAGGCAAAAAAAAACATGTAATTCTGAAATCGATCATGATTGTTTTTTCTGCCTTAGATCAATCTGAGAGCCTGAGAGGGTTCTAGCCCAAAAAGTATAACTTTCCAAATCACTTACCGGTACAAAAATGAGATGCAAACTCAAATGTGTAAATGTATAAAATTGCTTTCTTGCAAATGTAGCTTCACTGTTCTTGACGAAGGTGGTTGTGTGCGAGCTGGTTGAGATCCAGTCAGATCGCAAGATTCGTATCAAGGCATTTCGTTATCGACGGTACAGCGTCCTCAGCGGAACACAGGACGCGTTACAATCAGAAATCGATCCGTGCAAGATCGGTACTTTGCTATATCGCTTTTGAGTGGTTTCCACGTTTTGTCACATCTCGAAAATGCACAGAGGCGTAGTGACAACGATCGCGTCCTCTCAGTCTGGTGATCAATGTTCCCCCTGCCACCCATCGATCGTTCAATTTCGTGTACATAGGGCAATTTTGCCCCCTCCAATCGTGTTACTTGAGACTCGAGGTGGGCCAGCGATTGCAAATCGTGGCACGCTGATGTGGCGACCGATCTCTCAGGATCGGTGTGATCCACGATCCTCCCTCGATGTCTCAATTGTAACGCGGCCTTATGCTCCCCCCTTTGGTAATAACCTTTCGACCCTAGGGTTTGCATGGTAGGGTGGGGACGCAACGACTTCGCAATGCTCACGCTGGGAGTTTATTGCTAGTCCAGTTCATCCATTTGTGTAGTCTTTAGCCTGTCTCACAAGTTTGCTCTCTCAAATCCCTTTTGCGTTTTCTAGTTCTTCTCACTGTCGCTCCACTATGGCTCGTACCAAGCAGACGGCTAGGAAGTCCACTGGAGGAAAGGCTCCTAGGAAGCAGCTCGCGACTAAGGTGGACCTAGCTGCTATATTTGTTTAAACGTATTTTAACCACTTAGCACGTAGCAGATGTCTCGTACGGCCAACTGACGCTTTGTCCTGTTCGAATGGTTCAGGCTGCGAGGAAGTCAGCTCCTACAACAGGAGGAGTTAAGAAGCCTCATCGTTATCGTCCCGGAACTGTCGCTCTTCGGTGCGTATATTTCAAAAAATTCCTACTTCAGCCAGTGCCATGAGCTTCGCTGACATCTCGCTCGATGACTGCGCAGTGAGATTCGCAAGTACCAGAAGAGTACCGAGCTGCTTATTCGAAAAGCTTCCCTTCCAGCGACTTGTTCGCGAAATTGCCCAGGACTTCAAGGTATGACATTTTTGTTTAGGTCAACTTATATTGTTTCTACTTCTTTCCTTTATGTCTCCTCCCTCACGTCACTTAACCACTGCTGTTAACTGTGCTGCGTAGACGGACCTGAGGTTTCAAAGCCACGCGGTGCTCGCGCTCCAAGAAGCCGCGGAAGCTTATCTCGTTGGTCTGTTCGAGGACACCAACTTGTGCGCTATTCATGCCAAGCGTGTGACCATCATGCCTAAGGACATTCAGCTGGCTCGGCGCATTCGCGGAGAGAGGGCTTAGAGTTGTTTTATGGCCACTCATGTAATCCTTGGAGTTTTGGGTAAAAAACGCTGTTTAGTTCTATAGCAACCTGCCTCTTTGTCACTTACCACGGATTTTAGGATCTGGAATGGCTTACTGACTGTATGTATATTTCTAAAAATCTGTTGAATTATGGTGTAATGCAACATTTGATGGTCAATTACCTGGAGGCATAGTTGAAGACCCTAAAGTCTAAGATAAGGTTATGCTGAGATGCAACAATAAATACGATCCATAACCCAGAAAAGCAGCAATCTTTTTGCCTTCCCGCCTCAGTACAGTCGTTGGGCGCATCTCAATGCTCCCTCAACGTGCCCCATATCATCGCACTCCACCACACCACACCATACCCTGCACTACACCACGTAACCACATTTCACCACACCAACACACCCCAGCATACCATCCCTGAAGGCCGGCATGCCTCACAACAGCATGTAGGTAATTACTCCAACCAATGCTCCACAGTGGCACACACCACACCCTGCACCACACCATAGCACCACATTCCACCACCCAGAAGGGTGGGGTGCCGCAGAGCAGAAGCATGTAGGTGATCACTCCAATGCTCCACACGTCACACTCGCTGCCGTAGTCCCTCCTGAGCGCCTCTGGTGCCACATAGTACGCACTGCCAACCACCTTCTTAAAGCGCTGCCCTGAAATATGCAGTGAGGGGGGAGAAAAGGTGGACGCAGGGCGCACTGCTGTGTCACGTTGGGGAGTGGAAAGTGGAGAGTCCACAGTTGCATACTGACGCATGCACTCCACACGCACATGCACTAAAGCATCAACACTCACTAAAGCACCGGCACGCACTAAAGCACAAGCATGCACTAAAGCATCAGCACGCATTAAAACACCAGCATGTACCAGCACACTTACCCGGCTTAAAGATCGTGGAAAGATCAAAGCCAATGGCCAAGAGGGGTGCGTCGCTCCAAGTATGCGGCACCACTGCATTGCTCTGCACTACACTACATTGCACAGAACAGCACTGCACTGCACTACACTGCACAGCACTGCACTGCACTACACTGCACAGCACTGCACTGCTTTTTGTGTGGTTTTACTGCAGCAACCAGCACACGCACATGGCTATAGCCATGAGCGCTGTGTCGTCCCCCACGTGCAGCAACAGGAAGGTTTCAAGCTTGAGATCCTTTCTCTGATGCTCTGCACTGCACCGCACCGCACTGCACTGCACTGCTTACCATGCTGCTTACCACTGCACTGAAGAATGTTGAAAGGCCAAAGTCAATGGCCAAGAGGGGTGCATCCTCCCCGGGGTGCATCCTCCCCGGGGTGCATCCTCCCCGGGGTGCATCCTCTCCCCCAGCAGCAGGAGGTTTTCGAGCTTGAGATCCCGATGCACCACTCCCCCCACTGCCCTTACAAGGCGCATTGAGGACCAACACGTACAAACCTGGTTGAAACAAAGTGGAGAGGCCTAAGTCAATGGCCATGAGGGGTGCGTGGTCCCCCCCATGCAGCAGCAGGAAGTTATCGAGCTTGAGATCCCGATGCACATGTACCACTTGGGGGTTCTCAAGGCACCAACACCTGTACCACCACCAGCACACCGACACCTGTACAACCACCAGCACACCGACACCTGTACCACTTGGGGGTTCTCAAGGCACCAACACCTGTACCACCACCAGCACACCGACACCTGTACAACCACCAGCACACCGACACCTGTACAACCACCAGCACACCGACACCCGTACCACCACCAGCACACCGACACCCGTACCACCAGCACACCGACACGCACCCGGCTCAAAGAAGGTGGAGAGGCCAAAGGCGATGGCCAAGAGGGGTGTGTGGTCCCTCCCATGCAGCAGCAGGAATTTGTCGAGCTTGAGATCCCGATGCGCCACTCCCCGCTCATGCATGTACTGCACAGCCCGCACTATCTGCCGCACCATGCCGGCCGCGCACCGCCCGCACTATCTGCCGCACCATGCCGGCCGCCTGCTGCTCACTGTAGCTGCCCTCCGCCTTGAACCCGTCATATAGCATGCCTCCTGGGTGGGGTAGCGAGGGGGGTTTAGTGGAAGTGGAGATGGGAGGGGAGGGGAGGGCTTTTGAGGCGAGTGGAAAAGGAAGGGGAGTCAGAAAGTGACACTTCCCCTCACTGAAACTGCCCTTCGCCTTGATACCGTTGTATAGCATGCCACCTCGTGGGTGGGGAGGGGAGGGGGAGGGGTGTGAGGGAGAGGGAGGAGAAGGGGGAGGGTAAGGATGAAGCAGTGTGCCTTGGGCTCGTCATAAAGCATGCTGCCTGGTGGGTGTGAGGGGAGAGGGGAGAGGCAGGGGAGGTGGAAAAGGGTGAGACGGAAAAGGGAGAGGCGGAAAGGGGAGAGGTGGAAACGGGAGAGGCGGAAAGGGGAGAGGCGGAAAGGGGAGAGGCGGAAAGGGGAGAGGGGGGAAAGGGCGGAAAGGGGAGAGGCGGAAAGGGGAGAGGCGGAAAGGGGAGAGGCGGAAAGGGGAGAGGCGGAAAAGGGAGAGACGGAAAGGGGAGAGGCAGAAAGGGGAGAGGCGGAAAGGGGAGACGCGGAAAAGGGAGAGGCGGAAAAAGGAGAGGCTTTATAAGTTGATAAGAAAAGATGTTGCAACCAGCATGCCCCCAGGGTGGCTGGGGAGGGTAGGGAGAGGAAAGGATTGTTGCTCTCCACCTGTCAACAGTGGAGAAGCAGGTGTGACTCTTGAGAATTCTCAAAAGTCACACCAACACAGGAGGGTAGGAGGTAGAGGGCTAGGGGAGAGGCGTTTCGGTGGCAAGGTGAATCTTTGGAAAGGAGTGCTACCCTTGTGCTTGCTGCCTGGCAGGAGGAGGGGCAGGAGAGGGGTGAGTATTGCTTTACATCCACCTTCCTCCGTTTTCCCTCCTTCCTTCAATTCAACCTTCCCTCTTCCTTTCTCCTCCTTCCCACTTCCTTCCCTCATCCTCCCCTCCTCCTTCCCACTTCCTTCCCTCATCCTCCTCTCCTCCTTCACTGCTCCTTCCTCCATCCAGCATCAAGTGGGAGTGTTGGGCTGAAGTGTTGGTAAGGGGAGGGAGAGGAAGCGGGGGAGCGGAGCGGGAATGGTCTGTTTGTGGTCAGAGAGTTGAATTCCCTCTGCCTTACACCACCCATCACTGTCATAGCACCTGTGATACCCCACATGTCCACTCACCCACCCACTCTACCTCTACCGCCCAGCACTGCATTTATGCCACCCAACACACACACAAACACTACCCCCCACCCCACCCCACCCCACCCCGCCACACAACCCCACCACACCACACCACCCCTCGTGCACACCACCCCTCCTGCACACCACCCCAACGCACCACCCCTCGTCCACACCTGGTGCAGAGCTGCAGAATGAAGTGCGCATACGTGGCGTTTCCATATTGGCCGATGAACGCCGCAATACCCGCATGGCTTGGACAGGTAGGCAAGAAGAGTGGCTGCTTCCCTTGCCACGTGGCATATGACGTGGCGGACAGGTGGCGCTGGTGGGGGTTTACAGGTGGGGAAGGGTGGAATGGGGTGGAACGAGGTGGTTGAGGGCGGTGGCCTCTCGTGCCAAGTTGACACACAACGTGGGGTAGAGGTGGTGCTGAGGGGGTCTGGGCTGGTGGGGAATGGTGGAGTGTGGTGGAAAGGTATGGGCAGGAAGGGCGTCCTCACCTTGATGATAGTCTTGCAGGCAAAGTGCTGCTGGGACTGGCGGTGCCTTGCAATGTGCTGCTGGGACTGGCGGTGCCTTGCAATGTGCTGCTGGGACTGGCGGTGCCTTGCAATGTGCTGCTGGGACTGGCGGTGCCTTGCAAAGTGCTGCTGGGAATGGCGGTGCTTTGCAATGTGCTGCTGGGACTGGCGGTGCCTTGCAAAGTGCTGCTGGGACTGGCGGTGCCTTGCAAAGTGCTGCTGGGACTGGCGGTGCCTTGCAAAGTGCTGCTGGGACTGGCGGTGCCTTGCAAAGTGCTGCTGGGACAGGCGGTGCCTTGCAATGTGCTGCTGGGACTGGCGGTGCCTTGCAATGTGCTGCTGGGACTGGCGGTGCCTTGCAATGTGCTGCTGGGACTGGCGGTGCCTTGCAAAGTGCTGCTGGGAATGGCGGTGCTTTGCAATGTGCTGCTTTGACTGGCGGTGCCTTGCAATGTGCAGCTGGGACTGGCGGTGCCTTGCAAAGTGCTGCTGGGACTGGCGGTGCCTTGCAATGTGCTGCTGGGACTGGCGGTGCCTTGCAAAGTGCTGCTGGGACTGGCGGTGCCTTGCAAAGTGCTGCTGGGACTGGCGGTGCCTTGCAAAGTGCTGCTGGGACTGGCGGTGCCTTGCAAAGTGCTGCTGGAACTGGCGGTGCCTTGCAAAGTGCAGCTGGGACTGGCGGTGCCTTGCAAAGTGCAGCTGGGACTGGCGGTGCCTTGCAAAGTGCTGCTGGGACTGGCGGTGCCTTGCAAAGTGCTGCTGGGACTGGCGGTGCCTTGCAAAGTGCTGCTGGGACTGGCGGTGCCTTGCAATGTGCTGCTGGGACTGGCGGTGCCTTGCAAAGTGCTGCTGGGACTGGCGGTGCCTTGCAAAGTGCAGCTGGGACTGGCGGTGCCTTGCAAAGTGCTGCTGGGACTGGCGGTGCCTTGCAAAGTGCTGCTGGGACTGGCGGTGCCTTGCAAAGTGCAGCTGGGACTGGCGGTGCCTTGCAAAGTGCAGCTGGGACTGGCGGTGCCTTGCAAAGTGCTGCTGGGACTGGCGGTGCCTTGCAAAGTGCTGCTGGGACTGGCGGTGCCTTGCAAAGTGCTGCTGGGACTGGCGGTGCCTTGCAAAGTGCTGCTGGGACTGGCGGTGCCTTGCAAAGTGCTGCTGGGACTGGCGGTGCCTTGCAAAGTGCAGCTGGGACTGGCGGTGCCTTGCAAAGTGCTGCTGGGACTGGCGGTGCCTTGCAAAGTGCTGCTGGGACTGGCGGTGCCTTGCAAAGTGCTGCTGGGACTGGCGGTGCCTTGCAAAGTGCTGCTGGGACAGGCGGTGCCTTGCAATGTGCTGCTTGGACTGGCGGTGCCTTGCAAAGTGCTGCTGGGACTGGCGGTGCCTTGCAATGTGCTGCTGGGACTGGCGGTGCCTTGCAATGTGCAGCTGGGACTGGCGGTGCCTTGCAAAGTGCTGCTGGGACTGGCGGTGCCTTGCAATGTGCTGCTGGGACTGGCGGTGCCTTGCAAAGTGCTGCTGGGACTGGCGGTGCCTTGCAAAGTGCTGCTGGGACTGGCGGTGCCTTGCAAAGTGCTGCTGGGACTGGCGGTGCCTTGCAAAGTGCTGCTGGAACTGGCGGTGCCTTGCAAAGTGCAGCTGGGACTGGCGGTGCCTTGCAAAGTGCAGCTGGGACTGGCGGTGCCTTGCAAAGTGCTGCTGGGACTGGCGGTGCCTTGCAAAGTGCTGCTGGGACTGGCGGTGCCTTGCAAAGTGCTGCTGGGACTGGCGGTGCCTTGCAATGTGCTGCTGGGACTGGCGGTGCCTTGCAAAGTGCTGCTGGGACTGGCGGTGCCTTGCAAAGTGCAGCTGGGACTGGCGGTGCCTTGCAAAGTGCTGCTGGGACTGGCGGTGCCTTGCAAAGTGCTGCTGGGACTGGCGGTGCCTTGCAAAGTGCAGCTGGGACTGGCGGTGCCTTGCAAAGTGCAGCTGGGACTGGCGGTGCCTTGCAAAGTGCTGCTGGGACTGGCGGTGCCTTGCAAAGTGCTGCTGGGACTGGCGGTGCCTTGCAAAGTGCTGCTGGGACTGGCGGTGCCTTGCAAAGTGCTGCTGGGACTGGCGGTGCCTTGCAAAGTGCTGCTGGGACTGGCGGTGCCTTGCAAAGTGCAGCTGGGACTGGCGGTGCCTTGCAAAGTGCTGCTGGGACTGGCGGTGCCTTGCAAAGTGCTGCTGGGACTGGCGGTGCCTTGCAAAGTGCTGCTGGGACTGGCGGTGCCTTGCAAAGTGCTGCTGGGACAGGCGGTGCCTTGCAATGTGCTGCTGGGACTGGCGGTGCCTTGCAATGTGCTGCTGGGACTGGCGGTGCCTTGCAATGTGCTGCTGGGACTGGCGGTGCCTTGCAAAGTGCTGCTGGGAATGGCGGTGCTTTGCAATGTGCTGCTTTGACTGGCGGTGCCTTGCAATGTGCAGCTGGGACTGGCGGTGCCTTGCAAAGTGCTGCTGGGACTGGCGGTGCCTTGCAATGTGCTGCTGGGACTGGCGGTGCCTTGCAAAGTGCTGCTGGGACTGGCGGTGCCTTGCAAAGTGCTGCTGGGACTGGCGGTGCCTTGCAAAGTGCTGCTGGGACTGGCGGTGCCTTGCAAAGTGCTGCTGGAACTGGCGGTGCCTTGCAAAGTGCAGCTGGGACTGGCGGTGCCTTGCAAAGTGCAGCTGGGACTGGCGGTGCCTTGCAAAGTGCTGCTGGGACTGGCGGTGCCTTGCAAAGTGCTGCTGGGACTGGCGGTGCCTTGCAAAGTGCTGCTGGGACTGGCGGTGCCTTGCAATGTGCTGCTGGGACTGGCGGTGCCTTGCAAAGTGCTGCTGGGACTGGCGGTGCCTTGCAAAGTGCAGCTGGGACTGGCGGTGCCTTGCAAAGTGCTGCTGGGACTGGCGGTGCCTTGCAAAGTGCTGCTGGGACTGGCGGTGCCTTGCAAAGTGCAGCTGGGACTGGCGGTGCCTTGCAAAGTGCAGCTGGGACTGGCGGTGCCTTGCAAAGTGCTGCTGGGACTGGCGGTGCCTTGCAAAGTGCTGCTGGGACTGGCGGTGCCTTGCAAAGTGCTGCTGGGACTGGCGGTGCCTTGCAAAGTGCTGCTGGGACTGGCGGTGCCTTGCAAAGTGCTGCTGGGACTGGCGGTGCCTTGCAAAGTGCAGCTGGGACTGGCGGTGCCTTGCAAAGTGCTGCTGGGACTGGCGGTGCCTTGCAAAGTGCTGCTGGGACTGGCGGTGCCTTGCAAAGTGCTGCTGGGACTGGCGGTGCCTTGCAAAGTGCTGCTGGGACAGGCGGTGCCTTGCAATGTGCTGCTTGGACTGGCGGTGCCTTGCAAAGTGCTGCTGGGACTGGCGGTGCCTTGCAATGTGCTGCTGGGACTGGCGGTGCCTTGCAATGTGCTGCTGGGACTGGCGGTGCCTTGCAAAGTGATGCTGGGAATGGCGGTGCTTTGCAATGTGCTGCTGGGACTGGCGGTGCCTTGCAATGTGCAGCTGGGACTGGCGGTGCCTTGCAAAGTGCTGCTGGGACTGGCGGTGCCTTGCAATGTGCTGCTGGGACTGGCGGTGCCTTGCAAAGTGCTGCTGGGACTGGCGGTGCCTTGCAAAGTGCTGCTGGGACTGGCGGTGCCTTGCAAAGTGCTGCTGGGACTGGCGGTGCCTTGCAAAGTGCTGCTGGAACTGGCGGTGCCTTGCAAAGTGCAGCTGGGACTGGCGGTGCCTTGCAAAGTGCAGCTGGGACTGGCGGTGCCTTGCAAAGTGCTGCTGGGACTGGCGGTGCCTTGCAAAGTGCAGCTGGGACTGGCGGTGCCTTGCAAAGTGCAGCTGGGACTGGCGGTGCCTTGCAAAGTGCTGCTGGGACTGGCGGTGCCTTGTAAAGTGCTGCTGGGACTGGCGGTGCCTTGCAAAGTGCTGCTGGGACTGGCGGTGCCTTGCAAAGTGCTGCTGGGACTGGCGGTGCCTTGCAAAGTGCTGCTGGGACTGGCGGTGCCTTGCAAAGTGCAGCTGGGACTGGCGGTGCCTTGCAAAGTGCTGCTGGGACTGGCGGTGCCTTGCAAAGTGCTGCTGGGACTGGCGGTGCCTTGCAAAGTGCTGCTGGGACTGGCGGTGCCTTGCAAAGTGCTGCTGGGACAGGCGGTGCCTTGCAATGTGCTGCTGGGACTGGCGGTGCCTTGCAATGTGCTGCTGGGACTGGCGGTGCCTTGCAATGTGCTGCTGGGACTGGCGGTGCCTTGCAAAGTGCTGCTGGGAATGGCGGTGCTTTGCAATGTGCTGCTTTGACTGGCGGTGCCTTGCAATGTGCAGCTGGGACTGGCGGTGCCTTGCAAAGTGCTGCTGGGACTGGCGGTGCCTTGCAATGTGCTGCTGGGACTGGCGGTGCCTTGCAAAGTGCTGCTGGGACTGGCGGTGCCTTGCAAAGTGCTGCTGGGACTGGCGGTGCCTTGCAAAGTGCTGCTGGGACTGGCGGTGCCTTGCAAAGTGCTGCTGGAACTGGCGGTGCCTTGCAAAGTGCAGCTGGGACTGGCGGTGCCTTGCAAAGTGCAGCTGGGACTGGCGGTGCCTTGCAAAGTGCTGCTGGGACTGGCGGTGCCTTGCAAAGTGCTGCTGGGACTGGCGGTGCCTTGCAAAGTGCTGCTGGGACTGGCGGTGCCTTGCAATGTGCTGCTGGGACTGGCGGTGCCTTGCAAAGTGCTGCTGGGACTG